TGCTGAACCAGCAGGAACAAGTCACATTCCCACCTCAGACAGCTTTAATAGGAAAGCTGTGCCTCTGCAGCCACCACTGCACCTTCAAGAGCCTGAAGGCAGAGGCTCTTCTGCAGCCATGCAGACTGGCACAGCAAACTGGGCCCAGTGACTACACAGGAATAAGAGATCACACACTTGGGAAAGCATCAAACTGTATTCCTTGCTCGCCCGTCCTGCAGTCCAGTCCTCATCCCCAAAATGAGGAGGCAGTCTTCCAGAACTAACCCTTAGTGTCACTGAAGTTTATTCTCAAACATGAGAAGCAGCCTGCTTTTAGAATCATGTACTGACTCTTCTGGAATGACACAGTGCTGAAGATCTAACTGTACCAGTGTCGTTGCACTGATTATTGCACACCAAAACAGCTTGGTTTCTCAGGTTTTTTAGCTATTTCCCCACAGGCAGCAGTCACGCTGGTGTCATATGCTTTGCCTGCCTAGTTTCCACAATTATCCTGGGCTGAACCCTCCCAGTTCACTTAACCTCGAGTCTCCCACAGTGTATGTGTGCTAGAGCTCCTTCAGAAAAAATTACCCTGTTTTCCGAATGCTTTGATCTGACAATTTGGTGCTTTTTCCTCAGCTTCTTCCCAAGAGAAAGGTTTGAATGGGCAGTGTTGTGTAACACTGGTGAAACACCCAGTTCATGCTTTCACTTAGCAAGTTAAAACCAATGCAGATAGCGAGATGCAGACAGGTTTGTTTCAGTCTGTTACTTCAAATTAATACCCAATCTGGCAGTGTCTGGTTCCTGCAGTTGCCAGCACATTCTCTCAGATGTGCTGGTGTATCTTCCTTCAGAGAGCACAAGTCACTGTAACTAACATGCCAAGGGCTAGGTGCACTGGGCATTTAGGGCTCTGACCAAGTTAGCAGGATAAGAATGACTTAAAATCTTAACTGTAAATCTACAGCAGAAGACTACTTCAAAATGTCAGCACTTTGTTGTGGAAGGTGCCAATTAAATAAGTGTGTAGAAGACTATGCTAACTACTCACATTCGGACTTCCTAAGTCACCACAACAGCTGAGAGCAGTGCTACTTTCATGAGCTGTTTAACAAGTTTATTTCTGGTAGCTAGGAAAGTCCAAAGGCCAAACACACATCACTATTAAAATAACCCTCAGTAGGTGTTCCCGATTTCTGCTTCCAAAACCTGATGTGCCTTTAGAACTGCAGAAAAACCTACTACTGATGTCAGCTGGCTCCAGCAGAGTCCTCACTGAGTGACCACCTCACAGAGAAATTCCTTTTCAGCACAGCTCTGTAACATCAGAAAATTATCCAAATTTCAGTCCCTGACTTCTTTCTGAACTGCTGTATCTAAACATCCCCCAGAACGAAGGCAGACAGTAAAGCCTCAGTATTCAGACCTCAGAAGTTTGAGCAGCTATACTACATAGTCAGAATTTGGAGTTCAGAGGAATACTTAAAAAAGACGCATCCCCTTATATTCCGTGGTACAGTGAAAGTTAACAGAAACAGAGCTGTGTGACCACACTACAAGCAAGGTGCCGAGGCCAATGAGGAGTTGTTTCCTACAAAGCAGTCACAAGCAACCTATTGTACACAAAAACAGAGTAAAGGAAGGGAGATGCAGACTCAGAGACCATTTCTTTACTGCAGTTGGCTAAAACATTACAACTTGATTGAACTTAAGAACCATTCCCCTTCCCCTCAACCAGAAGCCAGAGGCTTTTCAAAGTGTTCTCGATACTCTGCTGCTTATACTTCCATCACCAAATCACAAATCCAGATATCAACATTCGCCTAACATGAAACTTGAAAGTGTCCATAGTACTTCCCAAATTCATAAAACCACCCTTCTCTAGGATGGAATTGCCACATTCAGCACATGTTGTAAAAGACAATGCTTCTGGCCTGTCACCCACAGTTACTATTGTTAATACCAGAAGTACTAAAACCCCCTAACATTTACTGAGCACTTTGTACAATAGCTTTGGTATCCGTCTTACCAACTGAAACAAACAAAAGCAATGCTTAAGGAGTCAAGTGTAACAGTGGAAGTTTCTTGTTTATAAACAGATTTCTCTGTATCTCCAAAAGGCCATGAGAGTCCACCAATGAGAACTAAACAGACTGCCATACCAGGCAGCTACTCCAGCTTACCTGCTAGGGCTTTGTATTTGACTCACATGACTGATTCTTGCCACAACAAGTTGCTGACTTAGAGAATATATGGACTTAACACACAATCCTATCTTCATGTCTGGTATTTCTACTACAAGTCTCTCCTGTAGGTCTGACTGATACCACAAGAGTTTCTTTTGGGAACAATGAACTGTGTGCCATCAACTTGCCTTTACACTTCTGATGACAAGTATGTCCAGTGGGCTTGTAAGGGTCAGAGAGAAAGAAATCATGTACCCCCACCTAGCATGCAACACATTCCTACCTCTGCAACAAAAGTGCTGACAAATTACACTATATGCCAGCAGACAAAAAGGAGCCAGGCCACTTCTGCTGCAAAGCAGAAACTCACCCTTGTCTTGGCGCATTAGTCACTGACTCACACACTTGCCCTGCAAGCAGCACTGACATAAGCTACAGGCACAGGATTTGCTCAGCTTGGTTAATATTTCTTTTTTGTCTGTGTCTAGTGTTCTGCTACAAAGAACTTCAGCCCAGGACCCCCATCAGAGCAGTGCCTGCTTCCCTTCCCCTCCCACCACAGAGAATACCAATAGGGAGAACAGTCCAAGGGGATAGTGCTGCTCGGGAAAGAAAAATGGAAGGAGTTACTAAGAAACATGGAAGGAGTTACTGAAAAATTGTAAGTCTAACAGCAGTTACTGTCACTACTAGAAAAAAGGCAAATATACAGGGACATATCATGAAGTAAACTTTTTCTATATACTGTGGATTATTAATGCTTCATCCAGACCACTGTATACAGCTTTGGCCATCAAGAAGAGAAAAAGGTGTGATTAAAAGAGTCAAAAGGAAAGAAAAATAGTAAAGAAAATTAGTGCCCATTAACTTCCCCTCACTACCCAACTTTCAAGCCCAAATCATTTGTTACACCATTAGCCTGTGCCAGGAAACATCAAAATCTGCTTGCTAGATTGAGTTCAGAACACGCTAACCCAAGCAGAGATGCTTTTATTAGGCTGACTTTTAAAGAAGAATTGAAGACCCTCATACTAGCCCTTGCTTCTAGAGATTTCTAACTAGCTGTCCCACCTGAGCGTAATACTGTGTACAAGGAGGGGTTACGCAGTATTGCTTAAGGCTAACTAGAAAGCTTTAGCATCATTTCTTTGCAGCACAACCTCTTTGCCTAGCGCATATCTGGACACTAAAACTGCAAAATTACATTGTAAGTGACCCTCAAAATTAGACTGCAATTAAAGAATGGAGTCAGTAAACAAGGCTGTCATGCTGTCGACTCCATTCACCAGGGAAAAGGTGTGCTACTAGAAGTGCCATCTCCTGGGAAGAAGCTGCTAATAGGACTGAAATACAAAGTGATTTAATATAGGATAGCCAGACTGGTTACAGGTACAGTGACAGAAAGGACAGGAGCTTTCAACCAGAACTGGCAAGCCCAGCTGCAGAGGCTGAATATGGCAATTTGTACTTGTGGAAACAGTCGGAATACTGAACAACCTGGGACCAAATAAAGATCAGCAGAGGACCCTCAGGAAAGGAGGCCTCTCCTCTTCCCCACCTCTACAGGTTAACCCAGTAACACGTTCTATGTACCGAGAGGCTCAGACACAACCTAGATGTTTCCGAGTAATTAAAGACTTAGGCAGGTTTGAGTACTATAGATCCACCCAAGAAAGGAAAAGTCCCTTTTCCAGGCATTTCAGTGACACCAAAAATAACATTACTTGCTTTGTTAGTGTTTTTAAATCTTCTCCTTGTCTCTTAATAATTCCATATTCAGCTCCTGCCCTGAAGTCTACCTTTGTGAAAGTAAGCCAGTGTGTTTAGTTAAGCGTATAACCAGCCTAATTTTGATCTGTCTTTAAAGAATAAACACATTCATTAAACATTAGAGAGGGATAAATCATGGGACTTCTGGTCAGCCCCAAGTAGCTGCAAATCCAAGTGTACATGACTGCTGTCTAACCCATTACAATCAACCCTCTTAATCAGCTTGCAAGGCCCAAGTCTCAGCAGATGTCCCTGACACTTTAAATAGATTTAAACTCCCTTCCCCCTAAACAGGGTTATTCAGGAAGTTCTGTGGCAATGCAAAATGCCAATTAAAAAAAAGGAGGGGGGGGGAATAAATCATCATCCACATTGAACCCCAGACCCAGGGAAAAGGCGCCACGAGGGACAAAGCAGCCCCAGGAGCAGTGATGGAGGAAGACCAGTGGCAGTGTAGCCAAGCAGCAGACCAAGGGAGCTCCAAGTGGCACTCATTTGGAGAGCTCACCAGAACTGCAGCTGCATGACCTCCACGACACATACCTGTTATTTCAGAGCCAGTTCCTGTCATGTCTAGAGCAGGGGGATTACTACTACAGCATTAGCTACACAAATGCTTTTTGGCTTACGCTGA